CCCGCATTGACATTTTTTACAAATCATCTCTCCTTCTAAATAAACTCTCCTTTCACCTACCCCGCCCCCTTCCCAAAAAAATCAGCCTGTGACTCGGAGAGCACTGTGGTGCCCATGTTCCTCACCAAACTGACCAACCCAGTGGTCAACGACGGGGAGAGGCTGGTCTTGGAGTGTGACGTCATCGGCTCACCGGAACCACACATCAGCTGGCTCAAGGACGGGCTGGAGTTAGGGGATGACCGAAGCTTTAGGTGGGTCTGCTACCCCGCCGTCTGGATCTTGTTTATTATTCTTTCTCTCGTGTATTTATTTGTTTATTCGTTCGTTCCTTCATCCTCTCCATTCCTTCACTCTTTCGTTCATTCATTTATTTATTCATTTATTCTTTCATTCAGTCCTTCATTCGATAAAAATATATATATATTTCAGTGAAAATGCCCTTATCTGTCTATCTTGGTTGGAATGTATATCAATGTACTGAATGTATACACTTACATCATTAAGATTTGCCATTTTGACTAGTTATTATATCTATAATGTTGGGGGGGAGGGGTTACTGGAAAATGTGAATTTGCTAGATACAAAATTTCAGTTCTGAAGACAAATACCCCTTTCAAATTGCGAGAAGTCTCTCTTATGAATCGGGTGGTTTTACGACGCCACTGGTGGTCCATTATCTTTTCCCGCCCTCTGTGGTGTTTGTCTGTCTGCCTGTCTGATTAATTGATTGATTCATTCATTCATTCATTCATTCATTTATTTATTCATTCATTTAATTCATTTATTCATTATTCATTCTTCCAGCTGTAGCTATGACGGGCGGCTGGCGAGTCTACAACTGGACAGTGTGTGCCTGGAGGACGCGGGAGTCTACCAGTGTGTGGCGCGAAACACCGCAGGGAGGGTCTCCATGGACGCTACAGTCACCGTGCAAGGTGAGGCGTAACCTTCAGGTTTAGGGATCATGCAGCCAAAGAAGTATAATAATATTGCTGCGTACCCTTTCAAACGTTGGTTAATGATATAATTTTCTTGTGAAATTTAGTGGGATCAAAGTTATTACTGTTAGTGGGAACGGGGTATCTGATTTTGCTTTTTTAAATGTGTGTTTTACGACCCATCGACACAATGTAACTTGAACATGAATTGAAAACGTACTCATTCACAGTCAAAAACAAGGCACCCTGCTTCATCACAAAACTTGCTGACATCACTGTCAGTGTGGGCAAGACTGTCATTCTCAAGTGTGACGTCACCGGAACTCCCACACCCGCCATATTGTGGAGGCGAGACGGCTCGATGGTGGGTGCGTCCCACAACTTCCTGTCCTCCTTCAACAATGGCGGGGCTCGGCTGGAGATCTTGGGGGCCGGGCTGAAAGATGCGGGTCTTTACGAATGTGTGGCGAAGAACTCTGTTGCAGAAGTCACATGCTCGTGTCAGGTCAAGGTCACGGACCCCAAAGGTCAGTTGTTCTTGGGTGGTTATTTAGATAAACAATGTTGCTTTTGTTCAGTTGATGATACATGTGCTTTGATTTCATAGTTGCTGTTCGCCTGGTTTCGTCCACTTGGTCTTCTCGTTATACAGTAGCGTCCAAAAGAAACTTGAAAATGTAATCACTGTGTTAAAGCCTTGTACAACCCACTCATGCAGTATACCGAAATAAAGCTAAATAAATTCTGCATCATCTGACACATTGATTTTTGTTCTATGACAAGAGACGCCCGAGATACGGTAACTGAAAATTGACCAAGAAAAAATCATGCTTAGCAAAATTCTGTGAAATCAAATAAACGTAAAGTGTCTTCACGCTTGGTTTGAGGTGCCCCAACATTGGTGGAATGAAAATGTGTTGCGTATCAAATGAAGGAGAACTATTCTGTCGGTAATAAACGATATTTCAAAACAACAGTTTGAAATAGATTAGAAAATAGTGCAGTCACAAATACCAAGCAAAACTTGGATTTAAACATTACATGCGCTCATTAATATTTTGTTTAGGGGGAACTGATTTTGGGAAGTGCGCAGATCCTTTGGGCGTGGGCTGTATTTAATTTTGGATACAATTTTTTTCTCATGTCGTCTCAAATGTCGCAAAGAGTTGCAAAAAACCGGGAGCAAAGTCGCGTTTCTGCAGCTGCTGCTTCACATAATATATGTAGCATTCATATCAGGGCTTTTTACGAAGGACTTCTCGATCATTGGTATGAATTGCTTTTCCAAAAATTTATAATTGCTTGGACCGGTGAGAAGGTGCTTTGTCTAGTATAAATATATCTGCTTTAATGACACCATGACGAAAATAATGATAAGCCGGGACAGGACGTTCTAGCTCTCTAGCGATGTAATCCTCAGAACGAAGCCTTCTGTTGTTTATCAAGAGTTTGATTTTGTGCATTCTGGCCAGGCCACCTCAAATCATGGGAGTTTCATGATTTCTGTTCCTCAGTGACAGATGATTAAGTCCAAAATCTAACTAACATAGTCCAGCCTGAAAATGAGTTGGTGCTGTACACAAAACCAAAGGCTCGTGAACAAAATACATTGTACTAATGAGCACATTTGACAGTAAGTCCAAGTTTTAAGGGGTGTTTGTGACTGCTCTGTTTTCTTATCTGTATGAAAATATCGTTATAAAACATTGGTCGGTGCAGAGACAATAATATTCTCCTTTAATTTGACATGCAATACATGTCTATTTCACAATAAATGTTGATACACTCAAAAACAAATGCAAACATACTTTTACGTAACTTTGATATCCCGACACTTTTTCCTAGCTTAATTGTTAAAGGCAAGTTTTGAGTGACCATTTCTCAGGCGTCTTTTATCGTAGATGAAAAATTAATGTGTTATATGATGCAGAATTTATTTTGTGTTACATAATTCTGTAGTCTCCCGCTTGTGACCGTATTTTTCGGGGTAAACCGGTATAGTGCGCTCAACGCAGGCGGTATGAACGTCTGTCGGGGGGGGGTGCCAGAGAAGGAGAGAGAGGCGAGAGAGAATGAGAATGAGAAAGAGAGAGAAAGAGGGGAGGGGTGTATAAATGAAAAGAAAGTGAGGTGTTGAGCGTAGTGATGCTGCGAAGCAAACGCATTTCCCAATGCTTTTATTTCCCCACACCGACGAAGCTATCTTTTAAAACACAGTGATTGACAAGATTCAAAACGATTTGTATTTTTTAGCCCAGTCAGACTCGAGCTCTGCCCCCCAGAACGAGACCGTGACGCTACCTCCCCGCACCACCGTGAGGAGAACCTTCAAGAAACTGTCGGAACCACGTCCAGCTGACGTCATCTCCGCTGTGCTGCAACGCGCCTCAGCGGCGGGTGGGGGCCTTCATAGGGCCCAAAGCTTTAGCCCCGCCTCTAACTCCGCCCTCAGCCTCGCCCCAACCAATAGAGAGAATGTTCAAACACAATCAAATGACAGAGAATCGGCCAAAAAGCGGTACAGTGACATCACTGCCCCGCAGACGCCAGAGGTCGTATGTCAAACGAGGGAGAGTATCACTCTGACCCCGAGGTCCAGCACTATTTCCTCCTCTGAAAATCTCTCATCGGGTCGGGACGAGAATCGATCGGTATCAGGATCCGATTCTAGCAGATCCGAAGTTTCCAGCGGATCTACCCACTTGTCTTTCCCTAGCAGACGCCCGACGAACCTGGAAAGGTCGGCTTCCCTTCACGTCCTAAGAAGCAGCAATTCAAATCTATCGGCCAAGCCGGAACAAGAAGAAGGCTTTAAAGTCATGTGGTCCCCGCCCGGAAGCGAGGAATCGCGGTTCCGAGACTCACATGCCATCTCCGGTTCCTTGGAGGTCATATCCGAATCCAAAAAATCCGGTTCCGGAACAATACCCGGATTTCGCTCGGTCTCGCCAATGTTCCTGACCTCACCGAGTCGTGAGGGTCGGGCCCAATCGCCTTTGGTTCATGAAGACAACCGGATACAACGTGATTTGGATGACTCAGCGCCACTTGCCAAAATAAAACAAGAGTCTTCAACGTCCGCCAAGTCATCCCGCTCTGTATCCTGCGATAACTCCGTACCATCCCCGTTATCAGCCAGGCACACTACTACCTCAGCCACCTCACGTAATGACAACGCCATTCCCGCATCTCCTTCTCCTCTATCGTTGTCATCGTCGTCGATTTCGTCCTCGTCAAGTTCCCTCCAGTCCTCGTCTGCTCTACCTCAACCGTCTTCCGATGACGTCACGCCGAGACAGGGCTCAAAGAAGTCACTCCAGTCACCTCGTGTCAGCGAGCTCCGCCTACAATTCTTAAAGAACGACCAATCAGCAGCGGAGGATGGCCAGAAGAAGCCAATCGGTGGGGCCGGGGGCGTGAGGAGATGGCATTCGCTTCCCCCTCAGGAGAACAAGCCTAAGGTTATCAAGGTAAGTCAGTGTCAAAACTGTGACTACATTAGTCTGTCTGTCTTTGGGTGTCTTTGTCTGTCTCTATCTGTCTCTCTCTGTCCCTGTCTGTCCCTATCTGTCTCTGTCTGTCACTGTTAGTGTACCTCCCCCTTCTCTCTCTCTCACTCTCTCTCTCGCTCTCTCTCTCTCGCTCTCTCTCTCTCTCTCTCTCTCTCTCTCTCTCTCTCTCTCTCTCTCTCTCTCTCTCTTTCTCTCTCTCTCTCCGTCTTCGTCTATTCCTCACTTTCACTCTCTTTCTTTCTTTAGCTCGGTCCCTTTACCCACCTTTACCTTTACCCCGCTTGTGTATATCTAGCATCCTATAAAAACAGCTCTGCACCTTTGCACTGAACATTTAGTAATCGAGAGAGAACGAAGAGGCACACGCCAGCTGACCTGTCCGTTAAATGTCCGAAGTGCCAAAGAGGAGGGGGGAGGAGGAGGAGGAGGAGGAGGAGGAGAAGGAGGAGGAGGAGGAGGAGGAGGAGGAGAAAGAAGAGGAGGATATCACTTGATATCAGTTTGAGGAAGACTGTATTGAACAATTAGTATTTATGATAGAATTAAATTGTACTTCTATATTGATACCGGTGGGAATGTTTGGATAAACAATACCTATGTACAAACAAACCTAAATTCGTTAATTTTAAACTTACAATATTTTTAAAGTGACTTTGTACAAAATGTCACACCAAAACCTCATCAATGACCTCGCTATTACTGTTGCTCCATGGGGAAACGGAATTACGTCACAGTGCCTCGATCGATGATATCAAAATATAAGTCTGTGGCTAGCAGATCCACATTTCTCAAAACAGATTAACTACTCAGTGTAAGCCTCCGTTATACGCCACTTTTCAAAATGGCGGAGTCTTACAACACTTAAAAGTCGAATATCAAACAAAACACGCTTCTTCTTCCGCTTCCGCTGCGCCTGCGCATCAATTTGCTGGCCTGACCCCGGCATCTACGTTAGATGTCATTGGCCACATGGCCAGGGCTTGTGTGCCTGTTTATCAGTCAGCTCTACTGCTGTTGGTTTCTGTCAGTGAAACGGTTCTTGACTCTTCATGAACTTAATGATCCACCCTTCCCCACCCTTTGCCACAACCACCCCACTCTCCTTATCTGTACAGGCCTGTCCTACTCTTTAGGTTTGTCCTTATCATCATCCTTCTCTCTTTTCCTGTTTCTCTCTGTCTCTCTGTCTCTTTGTCTCGTCTCTCCTCTCCTCTCCTCTCTCTTCTCCTCTCCTCTCCTCTCCCCTCTATCCATCTCTCTTTCTCTCGCTCTATTCCTGCTCTGTCTGTCTGTCTGTCTGTCTGTCTGTCTGTCTGTCTGTCTGTCTGTCTGTCTGTCTGTCTGTCTGTCTGTCTGTCACCCCCCCCTCTCCCTCTCTCTCTCTCTCTCTCTCTCTCTCTCTCTCTCTCTCTCTCTCTCTCTCTCTCTCCCTCTCTCTCTTTCTCTCTGCTACTTGATAGAGATAGCAGCATCCTCTTACAACTCATACCTTCAGCTTTTCTTTTTTTTCCTAAATTTTTGTTGTTGTTGTTTTGTTTGTTTTTAGGGGAGGGGGGGGGGGATTGATACCATTTCTCTGTTGGTTTATCTTTTATTTCTATTATTACTTCTTCGTTTACCTTTCTCGACACGACTGATTTTTGTCAGGCTGCCTTCTACATTTTTGTCCCTTTCATTTAATGTATATATTTCTTTACCCAAATGTGTTCTTTGGTTGGTTGGTGGGTGTTCTTGCGTGGTAGGCCCTTTCTTCCTTACCGAACATCTAGTCCTTATGTCTCGTCCTTCTTTTAATTTGTTACTCCCTTGTAACACCTGTTACCTTCGGCACTGTATCCATATAAGCTGTATAACGTACGCCCTGGGGTCATTTTATACCTCCGGGGTTGTATTCTTCACATTTTAGAATACTTCTAGTACGATTATCTCTTTAAAACTTTCAGTATTTCTTCAAAAAATCATTTTGACAGACAGCTATGAAAAGCGTACGGATCGTATTAACGAATAGATTTCCTCTTTGGAAAGTGGAGATACAAAGTCCCCACGTCGTACGGATACGATAGTAAAACACGACGGACGGATAGGGTTAATAAAACTAATTTAGATTAATTCTTTCTGATAGCTCATTTTCTGTTTATCTTTTCAAGCTCTAGGTGTAATGTATATACATACCTATCTCT